ATGCATACATATAAAAAGTTAATATCAAGTATAGTCATTGTAGCTTTATTATTAATGAGAAATTGAAAAAACTAAATATCAACCAGTATGGATATAGATAAATTGTAGATTTTCATATAGTGAAATAAATCTTGGAAACAATGTTAATTAATTTAAAACAAGTTTATAAAATGATACTCTATTGTTTACGTATATACATGTATGTCTCAAACTGATATAAAAACAAAGACAGTAAGCATATACACAAACTTCATAATAGTTATTTCTGAGAAAATAGGGAGGGGATGGAATTGGAGAAGAGTGAAAAATGACTTCAATTACATTTTAATTTCTTGAAATGTATCTGAAGCAAATTTAGTAAAATATTAACATTTAAATATCCTGCTTTTTTTTTGGTTAGTTTTTGCACTGGGGATTGAACTCAGAGTCTTTCATATGAGTGCTCTACCACTTAACTACATCTCCAAACCTTTTTATTTTTTGACACAGGGTCTCACCCAGTTGGTGAGGCTAAGCCTCAAACTTTGGATCTTCCTGCCTCAGCCTTCCAAATGGCTGAGATTATAGGTATGTGCCACCATGCCCAGCTTGCATTGTTTTTTGTTTTGTTTTGTTTTGGTGCTGGGTATTTAACTTAGAGGCACCTTATCCCTGAGCCACATTTTTTTGTTTTGAGACAGGGTCTCACTAAGTTGAATAGGGCCTCGCTAAATTGCTGAGGCTGGCTTTGGCGGCCCGAGCTGCTGGGATTACAGGTGTGCACTATCACACCCAGTTTATTCATTTCACTGGTGTTAGGATCTCATTATGAGATATATAACATTTAACTTAGCCATTACTCTACTGATGGGCATTTAGATTATTTCCAGGTTTTCTAGAAAGTAAACAGTGCTACTCTTTAGAGATTTTCTGTACAAGGGTTTGTCCCTACTGCAGTTATACTTAAACTGGGGTACATGTACCCCGTGGGGTATCCAGAAATGAGTCAAGAGGTGTATGACCTAAATGTTTCTTTTCTTGTGTGTGTGGTTTTTGTTTGGTTTTGTTTTTGAGGTATTGGAGATGGACACCTGGGGTGCTCTACCACTGAGCTACACCCCAGCCCCTCTTGGGTGGTTTAAGACTACATCCCCATTGCCAATGGTTTGTTTAGTTATGTATGTGACCCAATTCTGCATACATTTAGAAGTTCCCTTTCAGTTTTTGGGAAAGTTCTTCTCTGCTCTTAAGAGATAATGGAAAGTCATGTCTTTCTTCCCCTTTCCTCATGTGTTCTCCTTTTGCAATAGGTAAGTTCAACAGTTTGGTGGGTTCAAGTTTACCTATTTTCTTCATCAGTGGTAAATGTTCGGTGCAGTAAGAAATTTTTTCCTACTCTGTTGTCAAAATAGTCTTCAATATAAGTCTTCTAACAGTTTTATAGTTCTGCTTTTCATTTTTGGATCTTTAATCCATCTGAGATTTATTTTGGCATATGGTATGAAATAAGGATTTCATTTGTGCATCCATATGGAGAGCCAGTTGTCCCATGTTCTTTAATATTTTTTTCTTTCACCAATGATTTTGAAAGCCACTTTTCTAGTGGTAAAAAAAAATAGTATTTATTTAGCACTTAGTATTTTCTAAGTGTATGATGTATTAATTCATTTAATAATTACCACAGTATCAACTCATCATTTATCATTTACAATTCTGAGACTGAAAAAAATCTGAAAACTACATTAAAAATTTCATTTGGTGGCAAAACCTGACCTGAGCTGGCATAAAGCTATTTATATAGTTTTTTATGGTGTTGGTATGGTTATTACCAAATTTGCCACAGAACTATATCTCTATTTGATTATAGAGTGTTGCCCTAGAAGGTACTGGGGTGTGGCATCATCTGAAGTATATTCATTGCATTACTTTTCAAAATCAAAAGAATTTTTTTTTTTTTCTAAGCAATCCTCTTTAGGCTCACACCCAGAAGTATTGCCTTTTTTTTTTTTTTTTTTTTTTTTTTTTTTTTAAGATAGAGTGAGAGGGAGGGAGGGAGGGAGGGAGAGAGAGAGAGAGAGAGAGAGAGAGAGAGAGAATTCGAACTGGGCCTCACGCATGCCAGGCGCTTGAGCCACATCCCCAGCCCCAAATCAAAAGAATTTGTAATTCTGGCAGGTTTTCAGATAAAGATTGTGAATCAACATTAATTGGTGCCATTTCACAGCCTAGAGAATTAATATACTTGCTCAAGGTCATATTGTTAAAAATAATAATAATAATAATAATAAGGACTAGGGCTGTAGTCCAATGGTAGAGTACTTGCCTAGCATGATTTTGATCCCTAGCACTACTTATACAAAATCAATGGAATTAATAATATTTGTTAGTGTTTTTCATGGCAATCATTTAGTTAAGTGTTTTATATACATTATCTCATTTAATCCCCACCACCCAACTTTGTGAGTACCATTATTTTCCTCATTTCCCAGGAAAAGGAATTGAAGCTTACTGAGACTATATAATTTCCCTGGACAACTGTTAAGTGTGGTCAAAAGGATTTAAAAATAAACACATCCAATGTCAATGTATTTGATAAAGTATCCTTACAAATCTGATATACCTTTCCTCTCCTGAGAGTGCCATCTAGACTATATATTTAATTATCATTTTGACACTAAAGAGTAAGATTTTTAAAATGTAAATTAGATCATTTTAATCTCTTGCTTAAGGGCTGGGGATGTGGCTCAAGTGGTAGCGCGCTTGCCTGGCATGCGTGTGGCCCGGGTTCGATCCTCAGCACCACATACAAAACAAAAGATGTTGTGTCCGCCGAAAACTAAAAAATAAATATTAAAATTCTCTCTCTTCTGTCTCTCTAAAAAAAAAAAAAATCTCTTGCTTAAAATCTTCCTTTCTACTACCTTTAGCATAAAATCCAAATTCCTTATCATAGGCGATTTCTTCCTCTCCCATCTCATCTTCCAATAGAACAGACTTCTCAAGCTTTTGTTGTAGGTGGATCCCCTATCCAGAAAGTTCTTCAGATCTTCACACAGCTAAATATCTCTTGTCATTTAGGCCTCAACTTGAGATCCTCCTTAGTTTTTTCCCTCATTACTTAAGTAGGCCTATGTTGTCCTTTTTATTTCAGCATCCTTTTACATAGCACCTAAACATATTTTTGTGTTTATCTGTTTACTTTCTTTTTCCTCCCATTAGAATTGTAGTTCAATACTCTGTCTCAAAATAAAACTTAAATAAGAGGGCTGGGGATGTGGCTCAGTGGTTAAGTGACCTTGGGCTCAATTCCTGGTACCAAAGGGGGGAAAAAAAAAGAATTGTAGTTCAACCAGAGTGGGCACCTTCTCTCTCTTTTTTTTTTTTAGTTGTTGATAGACCTTTATTCATTTTTATGTGGTGCTGAGAATCGAACCCAATGCCTCACACACAGGCAAGTGCGCTACCACTGAGCCACAGCCCCAGTCCACCTTCTCTGTTTTAAGCTCATGTGAGGCCCCACTTTCTTAAATAGTAGATGCTTAATTCTGGCTGATTAAAATGAATGTTGTACACAATGAGTTTATAGTCCTACTTATTAGTCTGAGTGATGGGAGTTGAATTGAAGAGGCAGATGAAACCAAAGAGAAATTGTGATGATACAACAGTTTAATCAGACGTTGTCTGATAACATAAACATTGCCTAGCAGGGTGTCTGACACAAAGGTGCCAAATAAATATTAGTTGAATAAATGAACAATAAGTATTATCACTAGCTTGGATCTTGGACAAATTACTTAAGCTTTCAGAGCTTAGTTTCCCCACCTGTAAAGAGAAGATTAAAACTTACTTTACAGTGCTGGCCCACAAATCCTATGAGATAATTCAAGCCAAGTGCCCAGCATATAGTAGGTACTTAAGTTAGTTTCTTTCTCCATGTATATTCGCTTTATGGTTTACAAAGTTCTTGCAAGCTCTCTAAGATACATGACCTCATTTTATTTCCACAGCCTACTATAGTGCTTCTCATTAGCCTCATTTTACAGATGAAAAACACTCAAGGATCGAGACATAGCCTCTTCAGGTAATGTTTTAAAGCAGAGGAGTGAAGCGGTAAGTGCTTTTGAAGATTAATCTGTTAGTGACCTCTAAAATGGGCTCGACTGAAAAAAATGGAGAAATATTACTATATTTACTCACATAAAGTTTAACGTGATAAAGGGTTTGCACGACATGACAGAAGAGTGTTAAAGTTTTTTTTGTTGTTGCTGCTGTTGTTAAAAAACCAAAAAACGGATAAACTTAAAACGATTGAATTACAGATAAGCGAAGCATTTTTTTAAAATGGGAGTTTTTGAATCTGATTTATTAATTACTGTACCAACATTCAAAAAAAGATTAAAAAATCAAATTGGTAAAGTTGTGGGCAAGATCTTCCCTTCAACACCTATGCAGAATTTCTTTCAAATAATGGCACGTGATTGAGCCGTTTCAGTATTGCTGTAGATCTTACCTTTAAAAAAAAAATATTTATTAGAGGCTGGCCTCTGATTTACGGTTCTCCTGCCTCAGCCTTCTAAATCGCTGGGATTAAAGGCACACGTCACCAAGCCCGGGAGGCTGCAGATCTTTCTTGATTTCATCCCTCCTACAAGCACCGCCACGTGGGCCACAGTGCCATAAGCTCCTTCTGAGTTTGCCAGGTAGAAGGAGGATCAGGACGGAATGCAACTGTAAACTAAAATTTTTAACTTCCTGAACTTTGGCTAAATTGTCCATTTTCCTTCTCTGGAAAATCAGGGGCCCCGTATTTCACGTCTCTGCTTAATTTTGAGGTCCAGAGGTCCAGAGGTCCAGAGGTCCAGAGGACCAGAGGTCCGCTCCAGATCCGCACGCAGAGCTTTGTTTTCAAGCGCCAGGGCCAGGCACGGGGTTCTCTAGCTCCTTTCACTCCTCCGCGGAGCCCAGCCCCTCGCGGTGAGCTGATGTCATTTCCGGCGCGCTGACGCTCAGTCCGGCGTGCCGACGCCTGCGTCAGCAAAGAGCGGGGCTGGGGGCATCGGGTTTGAAGTCGTGCGGGTCGGAGGACTGCCGCCTCCGCCGCTGTCTCAGATCCCAGCTCCCGGTTGCGGCGGGGACGACCTCCGGTAGGTGGCGGAGCAGATGCCCGAGGGCCCGCTCCGGGACGCCTCGCACCGCACCGGCCGCTCCCCTCGGCTCCGCGGCCTGGGCCTGCGCCGCTCTGCTCTCTGGAAACTAGCGCCTCAGCGGCGCGGCGAGTAGCTCGCGGGGCGCTCCGAACCGCCGGCGCTCGGCCATGGCGGTCTCCAGGTGGGTCTCGCCCCTGACGTGCGAACGGAAAGAGGGGTCAGGCGAGGCACCGGCTGCTCTTGGCGCCGGAGCTCCTGGAGAGGAGCGGTTCTCATTGTCACTGGACTCCAGCACCTTCTTCCCTAGACTTCGGAGTTCGCCCCTCGGTCGGCGGGGCTTGGGCTCGGGTTACTCACAGTAAATCGGTTCAAGAATATCTTTTTCTTGTTAAGTAGACCCTCCGGCACGTTAGAGCTGCTTTTTTTTTTTTTTTTTCCTTTTCCTCGCTGTGTTTCTCTTCTCTGGTTTCTCTTCCCTCTTTCGGTTCTAGGAGGGTAAGTCTTAGCATTCTAAGTCTGATCCCTAACCTCCATTTCATGGCAAAACTTGGTAGGAACCGTCGAAGGAGGGGAGATTTGGGTTTCCTATTAACAAAGAGACCATCTGATTATGCTAATTTTTAAAACATTTACAGAGTTAGGCATATGTTCTTTCCTGAGGCATTTTTTTCCCCTACATTAAAGTATAAAAATCATTTTGTTCAGCAGTAGACGTTCTGTAGTCAGCGTTGTAATCTTATTGTATTAGCCCCATCTTTCAAGAGGTATCACAAATTTTAAATTATTGTAAAACAATGCCCAATGACTGGAAAGTTAAGAAAACTAAAGAAGAATAAGACATTTGTTTAGCTATAAGAGGAAAGTTTTCTTCGCCTAAATGACAAATGTTTGAAAAACTTTGTTTTTATTATTTGTTAAATTTTTTTCTTAATGGTACTGGGGATTTAATTCAAGGTCATTTTATTTTGAGATAAAGTCTGCTCAGTTGCTGAGGCTGTCCTTCAATTTGACATCCTCCTGCCTCTGTTTCCCAAGTCACTGGATTACAGGTGTGGGCCACCATGCCTGCTTTTGGGAGAGATTTGATTTTGGTGGTCCTCATGGGAATATGGTCTCTTGGTGCTAGCAGTCAGAAAGAGTCATCAAGATCTTTAGAGTTGGCAAGGGAACTTTTAATGAGAATTGGGTTCTTTTACTACACAGGCTGAAGGAAAAAATGATGAAAATAGATAGTTTTCATTCATTTTTTATAATTAATTGAACACATTCTTTGAGCATATTACTAGCTAAAATGTTAACTGTTATGCAAGGGTAAGAATAACCCCTGCGCCTCCCAGACTCCCTAGATAACTGATGAAATAGTGTGTGGGAGAAGCCTATGGGAGTTGGGTGAAGGGGGTTGCTAGGTACTGATAGTATGGAGTATCTAATTTTTATTTCATAGATTAATTAATCCATTCAATGTGAGGATTTTTTTTTTCTCTTTTTTTTGGTACTAGATATTGAATCCAGGGGCACTTTACCACTGAACTACATCCCCAGTCCTTTTTAGTTTTTGTTTTGTGGCAGGGTCTTGCTAAATTATTGGCTGGCCTCAAATTTTCGATTCTCTTCCCTCAGCCTCCAGAGTTGCTGGGATTAATGTGAGGAAATTCTTGTTTTGTGATGTATAAAACTGCTCTAACAGAATACAAGTTATATATATATATATATATATATATATATATATATATATTTTTTTTTTTTTTTTTCAAATACAAAAAGGAATTTCTTCTAATATGCTGCTCCAATATAAATACATAAATATATACATTATAAGCACATTGATTCATTAACTTAATATGAGATTTGTTTCTTAGGTGTTACAGTGTTTAAGGAATGAATACTTCCTTACTTAGAGTAGACTGTATATTTTCTACAATACTGGATGTAGCCTTTTAGAGACAAAATGATAGTATTTTATCAGAGTCTTATCTGCTTTAGTCATACTAATCTATTTAAGTTTAGGTCACCTAGTATTTCTGAATGAATGAGTGGGTTTTGAAGGCTTCCTCCTTCTGTTCTGGCTATTGGATTTCAGAGTAGGTTTTTTTTGGGGGGGGGTATCCTTTTTCTTATTCACTTTGTCAATTCTTTTTTAAAAAAGTCTGTCAGGTTTTCATGAAGAACTACTTCTCTGCTTGCTTTAATAATATAAGTTCAATCAAAGTATTTTTGAGACACTGTGTTTTGGTGGTATTTTAAAATGTGGATTCTCTTTGAATGGCAAACCTTGGTTTCAAGCTGGCCTTCTTCATGCGCTAAGCATTATTTCTGTGCTAACCAAGCTTCCTTTCTTTCCTGTTGATGTGTGCTTGTGGAAATACGGACTACTTTAATACTATTTTATGTGAAATAAAAGTGGAAGATAGTTCAAGAGATAAAAATCACATGCCAGAATCAAATCTAAAATATTTTTTGTTTTATTTATATCAATGTGTGTAACTGAAGATAAACTGCAATATTTTTAGGGCCTTGAAGATATTTCTAACAGAAAGGAAATAGTAAATTGGTACTGTCATTTCCTCAATTGCCAGGTCAAGAAATCTGGGGATAATCTTTGGCTTTTCTGTCCTTCCCTCTATCAACATCCAGCCAGTTACCTATTCCAGTTTTCCTTTCTAATCTCTCATCATCTCTATTCCAAAACACCTGCAAACATAAGTAGCTTCTCTCCACTACCTGCCTCTTATGCTATTTCACTCTGGTTCATTCTTCACTTCAGCCATATTATTTGCTAATATGCAAATTTTAACATGGTCATTTTTCTGCTTAAAACTTGTTAGTTTTCTGTTGCCTTAGGACAAAGTCCAAATTCCCAAATATCTTTCCTCAGCTCAAGTCTGGCTAATTCCAACCTTAGTTTTTTTGATCTAAGCCTATATCACTTTGTTCAGAAAGCCTCTGCAGATTTTACTTCACCTTTGCTATTTGCAACAATGTATACTCTTGTCCATTGTATTATTTAATCATACATTGTAATTGTTTAATTGTTCTCTCCCTTTCTGAATTAACATAAATTCAGTGAGAGAAAGGAATGTGTCTTTGATCTTTCTGTCCCCAGCTTCTAGGATATGATGCTCAGTACATTTATTTTTTCTTTTGTTTTCCTTGTCCCCTCCCTGCACTTTCTGCTGGGGATTGAACCCAGGAGTACTCTACCACTGAGCTACATCCTTACCCCCACTTTTTTTTTGAGACAGGGTCTCCCTAAATTGCCCAGTTGGCCTCTAACTTGAGATTTTTCTGCTGCTTCTTCCTGAATAGCTGGGAGTGTAGGTGTGTGCCTCCACACCTGGCTCCTCTTTTCTTTATTGGGAAGGAGTCTCCTTATATTGCCTGGGTTGCTTAAACTCTTGAGCTCAAGGGATTCTCCTGACTCAGCCTCATGCAACCAGGATTGTAGGCTGGCAGGCACATGGTACCTGTCTTAATATTTTTAAAATATTGATTAGTTGATTAATTAATTTGTGGTGCTTAGCATTGAACCCAAGGATTCCCAAGTGCTATGTAAGTGCTTGACAGCTGAGCCACACTCCCAGCCCTGAATATATTAAAAACAAACAAAAAACTAGTGATTTTGTTGCTTGCTTTAAAACCTAATATAATTTTACCATAACTTATGCATGGTAGAATATTTCCTGTGTTTTTCAGTGTTTCTATGTTTAACTAGTTTTCCTCAGAAAGAAAAATATGCACTATAGCTTTGAAATTGGCCAGGATTATAATTTTTAAAAAAATCTTCAGAATAATTTTTTTGAAATTTAAATACAGTTAAGTTCTAAATGCAGTTAAAGTCTATGTGATAGCATAGACTTTTGTAATGTACACTGAATAAAATGTAACCTGTATTTTGTATGATCAAAAAGTTTAGATCCTACTTACAGTGCTATCAAGGCTTGGTTTTATTGTACTTTGAATTGTTAAGAATGTGGCAAATTATGAAATGTATGGACAATGCTTAATCTGGGTGAGATATATCTTGCAAAAATAACTTTGTGACTCTCTAAAGTTGCAAATACAATCATAACATTGGAAGTTTTCTATAAATTTCACTACAATATCACTGAAGGATATATAACTCCTTTAGATCTTTAAAAAAAGAGATGGCATACTCTGGGGTGTGGTGGTGCAAGCCTATAATCCCAGCTACTCAAGAGGAAGACTGATTCAAGAGGATTGCAAATTAAAGGCCAGCTTTAACATTTTAGGGAAACCCTGTCTTAAAATAAAATTTAAAGGATGGTAGGTGTGTGTGGTGGGGGGGTGGGGGTAGAGACGTAGTTCAGGAGTAGAGCATTTGCCTGCCTGGGTTTAATCTCCAGTACCACCACCAAAAGAGAGGGAGGAAGAGATAGATATTGAGATTACATACAAGTATAGACAACAACATTGACTTTAAAATGTAAATATTGTTAAGTCATTTAATCTCATGCTCTTAACTACATAACTGTGTCCTCAAAACCAAGTTTTGGAAAAAAATTAGTATATGGTCTAGGCTTTCATTGTTGCTCACAGATGATTTAAGTTTGTCTCTCTTTTTTTCTTTTTAATATTTATTTTGTAGTTATAGGTGGTCACAATATCTTCAGTTTATTTTTATGTGGTGCTGAGGATCGAACCCAGTGTTTCACGCATGGTAGGCGAGTGCTATACCTCTGAGCCCCAACCCTAAGTCTTATCTCTTAAATCTTTTAATACCTTTGTTTTGTTTTGTGAGGCTTTCTCCCAATATTTTCTTTAGTTGGCATTAAACAACCAACAATAAAGGCAGCCCTAGAGGGATTTATTCATTGGTGTTCAATTTATAACCAGGATTCCAAAGCTTAATGTAGATTTTTTTTCCAAAAAGATTGCTTTTTATATCTTTGCCAACTTATGCTACAATTGATCGAGTTGACTGTTGTACAACAGTTTTCTTTCTTTCTTTCTTCCTTCTTCTTCTTCCTTCTTTCTTCTTTCTTCCTTCTTCTTCTTCTTCTTTCTTCTTCTTTCTTCTTTCTTCTTTTTTGGTGCTGGGGATTGAGCCCAGGGCCTGTGCTTGTGAAACAAGCACTCTACCATCTGAGCTATACTCCCAGCCCCTGTACAACAGTTTTGAGCCATTAGTTTTTTCCTTGATCATATAGAGATTTTAAAAAA